TAATTAACTCTTCCCTCTTTATTCAGAAGATGACATCTTTCATTCCCTGGATGCTTAGATCCTCAGTCCACAGGTGGGAGGGGAAAGGAGAAGCGAGGTCAAGGAAAGGACCGCTGATCATACTGGTGACTGACACTGTCCCAAGCAAACCTGGCAGGTAGGTAATGCTGACTCTTGCTCTCCTGCTAGTTCTGTTGCCATGATCATGAGCTGAACTGTTCTCAGAAAAATTCTCCTGGGGTGGGCCATACACCTCTGACTAGCTCCTTCACTTCCACCTATCAGATTCCCTTCTACTGTAGTTCCCCTGCACTGTTTTGGGGGCCTCCTTAGCTGTGGCAGGAGCCCTGCTGGACAGAAAAATCTCAGTCAGAATGCCTTTGAAAATGACCCATGCCACTACCAATGGTTTCTTAAATAGGGTACATAAAAGACTGATAGATAACATTTCATGAGGTCATTCCAGCTTCCACTTAGGATGTAGAAAAATGTTGCTCCCACATTAACCACAATAAAAAGCGAAATAACCTATAACATCAGAACTTTTCTTGAATCCACCAGAGAGTAGAGGCCACAAGGCAACAAAGTAGCATGAGATTTAAAGAAAACCTGATGGCTCTGAGAAGAGAGGCATTGCGAGAACTAGCTTACCTGAGGCAGAGCACCTGAGAAAGACAAGCCATCAGAGAAGAGGGGAAGAAGATTGCAGCTAACACTCTGATGACTCTGCGGTAGGCAGTTGGACAGACGTGAGTAGAGCAAGGCTGATGGGCCAGGTATAGATCACCAGGGTAGAAAGCCCCAGGTGCCTGTAATGAACGAAACAGGGAAAATGAGGACCTCGCCCCCAGGGCAACCTTTTCTCCTCTAGCACATCCGGTGGTCATGAGGTTCAGACCCCCTGCATTTTCTTATTGCTGGCCATGCTCTTAGAGGGGGAACAAATAAGGAGGCTGAAGAATAGACCTTATGCATTAAGCCCCCAGGATAACGGGGATCTGACCCACATCAAATACATCTAGGCATAGGTTGTGGTTCAGCTCCAGGCCCAGAAAAGCAGCAAAACCAGACAAGCGAGGCCAGAGCTGACCTCAGGACCAGCTACATTAACTACTGACCCCTCCCCAGGCACCAACCAATCAGTGAAGCCCACGACCCTGAAAGGGCACCAGTGGAAAGCTGATGAATATTCTATTGGATCCTCCCCTAAAATCTTCACCCTTAAAAGCCACTAGGATAGAGGACCCAGCCTGCTCTCTCTGCCCCCAGTCCCAGGAGCATGCCTGTGCTTTTTCCCTTTTCCTCTCCTCCCCGCCTCCCCCAACCTTTACCTTCCTCTTTCCTAAGCTCCAAGGCCCTTCTTTTGCCTCTGCAACTTGTTTCCTGACCCCATTTCTTCTACCACTCACTTCTTCTACCTCTGTGACCCTCTTATAGTTGGAGTCTTGCATGTGAATTCTTTCCTAGCCAGTACTGAAGTTGCTGAACCAAGGTCCAGTCTGACTCCAGCAGTCTAACATCTGGTACCATTTCGCCACCAATAAATTCATAGTTAATTTTTACTAATTTGCTGCTGTGTAGAGGAACCCATGAAAGCTACAGACACAAGGGGAATTTACACCCCCTTATAGATTTTTCTCCACAAACCTCACAGAATGCTCATAAGAACATCAGGGTCAGAATGGGGGAGCAGAGGAAGCATCCTAAGGGGGTGCAAGTGGGTGAGGGGGGAACAAAAGCCCCCAAGGGTAGGGAGAGATGAAGAGCAGCAAACACAGCAGGCCCGAGGGTGGACTCCTTACAGCTGGGGAAGGGGAACAAAGAAACCCTCCTCCCCAGGGGGAGGGGCAGGAAGCTCTCTCCCACCCAGGTGCCACCAAGACACCAGGCAGGGTTTGTTTGCCAAGGGGAGGAGGGCAGGATCACTGAGTAGGTTCTAGCCCCAAAGCCCAGGGACATAGGTCCTGCCTGACTGAGACTGAGGCTAAACCAAGAGAGCAGAATGCCTCTTCCCCTACCAGACTGGCAAGTGTCTACTGAGAATCTACTGCAGGGGAAGGAACAAGAGTGGCAAGTCTCTCCCTCAGGCACAGGCTATAAACAAAGTAACACAAGTTGCCCCACACTGGAAACAATGGTGAATGGATAAATGGCAATAAAGCATACCATGGAATACTACTCAGAATTTAAAAAGAAGTAGTAATATATATAATAACATAGTTAGATTGCAAATGCATTATGCTAAGTGAAAAAAGCCAGACTCATACCATAGGGTTACATTTATATGGCATTCTAGAATAGGAAAAACTATAGGGGCAGAGATTCCTTGCCAAAGGCTGGAGGTAGATGAGGGGCTAACTACAAAGGAGCATGAAGAATTTCTGAATGGTGATGGGACATTTCTATATCTTGATTGTGGTGATGTCATGCATTTGTCAAAACTCTTAAAACACTACACTTAAAAGGGTGACTATACTGTATAAAACACATTTAAAAATTAAAAAGAAAACAGAATTTTATTTAAATTAAGAAGTTCTGTTCATCAAAAGTCACCATTAAGAGAGGAAAGAGACAAGTCACAGATTGAGAGAAAATAAAAAGAAATATAACTTGCATACAGAAAATACAAATGAATAAGAAATAAAAGACAACCCAATAGAAAAAAAAAGATAAGCAAAAGACTTGAGTGGCATTTTACAAAAGAGGATATTCCAATGGCCAAAATACATATGAAAAGCTGTTTAATATCTTTATCCTAAATGCAAATAGAAACCATAATAAGGTACTCCTACACCTACCAGATAAGCTAAAGTTAAAGACTGGCAATACCAATGTAGGTGAGGATATGGAACTGAAACTGGTTGCAAATTTCTATAACCACCCTTTCAAAATCTATTTGGCAGTATTTACTAAAGCTAAACACACCTGAGTCTTATAATCCAGCAATTCCACTCCCAAGTATTTACTCAATAAAAATGAGTGCAAGAGAACCCAAATAAGTAAAATCAGAAATAAAAAAGACTGACACCACATGCCAATGAATTGGACAATCTGGAAGAAATGGGTAAATTTACAGAAACATACGATCTTCCAAAACTGAATCAAGAAGAAACAAAATATCTGAACAGACTGATTACAACTAACAAAATTGAAGCAGTAATCCAAAAACTCCCAACAAACAAAAGTCCTGGACCAAATGTCTCCACAGGTGAATTTTACCAAACATTCAAAGAAGAACTTATACCTGTCATTCTCAAACTAGTCAAAAAAAATTCAAGAGGAGGGAAGACTCACAAGCTCATTTTACAAAGACAGCATAATCCTAACTTCAAAACCAGATAAAGATACTATAAAGAAAGAAAATTATAGGACAATATCCCTAATAAACAGATGCAAAAATTCTCAACAAAATATTAGCAGACCAAAGTCAGTAATACATTAAAAAGATCACTCACCATGATCAAGTGGGCATTTATTCCTGGGATGAAGATTGCTACAATATCGACAAATCAATCAACGTGATTCATAAACAAAATGAAGGGTAAAAATCATATGATCATATCAATAAATGCACAGAAAGCCATTGACAAAATCCTGCACCCATGTATGATAAAAACTCTCAGCAAACTGGGAATTGAGGGAACATACCTCAACATAATAAAGGCCATATATAACAAACCCACAACCAACATCATACTCACTGGGGAAAATCTAAAAGTGTTTCCCTTAAGATCTGGAATAAGACAGGGATTGTCCACTTTCACCACTCTTATTCAACGTAGTACTAGAAGTCCTAGGCATAGCAATCAGACAAGAAGAAGCAATGAAAGGCATCCAAGTTGGAAACAAGTAAAACTGTCATTATTTGCAGATGATATGATACTGTACATAGAGAACCCTAAAGATTCCACCAAAAACATCTAGAACTGATAAATGAACTCAGTAAAGTAGCAACATACAAAATAAATGTTCAGAAGTTGTTTGCATTTTTTATACACCAATAATGAACTATCTATCATCAAGGGAAACAAAAAGAACAATCCCATTCACTATTGCTTCAAAAATAATAAAATCCCTAGGAATAAATTTAACCAAGGATGTAAAAGGCCTGTACTCAGAAAATCATAAGATACTGTAAAAAGAAACTAAAAAGAAAAGAAAAAAAGACAAATAAAGGAAGCATATACTGTGCCGGTGGATAGGAAAAATTAAAATCAGAGGAGCCACTGAGGCAGCTCCTCTGTATTCCCCTGTGAGCATCATACACCAGTCCACAAGCCTCCCACTCCCCAGCCGTCCTGGAGGCGCCTCACTGGGTCTGAGGAGGAAGGAAACCCTATCTCCTCACCCTCTCACTTTATTGAGGACTCACACACAGCCCACCAAGCTCTCCTAACATATCTCCTCACAGATTCTCTTTCCTCTCCATAACTTGACCCTTTTTTAAAAAATATATTTTATTGATTTTTTACAGAGAGGAAGGAAGAGAGATAGAGTTAGAAACATCGTTCAGCTGCCTCCTGCACATCTCCCACGGGAGATGTGCCTGCAACCCAGGTACATGCCCTTGACCGGAATCGAACATGGGACCTTTCAGTCCGCAGGCCGACACTCTATCCACTGAGCCAAACCGGTTTTGGCAACTTGACCCTTTTTTAAGTGTGAATGAGAGGTTCACGCATCTTTGAGCCAGCATCAGAGGGTAACTTTACAACTACACTCTGCGTGTTCTCCCTGCACCTTACTCTGGCGTGCAGCATGAATGGTTTGGAGTTGGCTATCATCTCCCAATTAGGACTTCAATATTAAGCTCCTGTTACAGGAACTTCAGCTTGAACCACATGAAATTCTTGATTGTTGATGGTGTGAACTAACAATTTTATTCAAAATAGGCTTTTTAAAGAGAGTGAACTTCAGTTAGAATTTGAACAAGAGGGAAAAGTGGATCCTTAAACGAATACCCAGGAAAACACTGAAATACCTTGTGCAAAGCATCTCACCTTGGCTTTCAGGTCAGCACATAAATCCTGTTGCTTTCTCCTGTCCTTAGCCAACGTGCTCTCCATTTCATGAGCCGCACAGGCCTCGGCAAGTGTCAGCACAGCCTTCTGTATAAAATCCCTCCTATTCTTATTCCAATTTGATATCAGGACCCTTCGCTGCTCCCTTGCAAAGTGATACTGGTCACAACATTTCTCATGTTCGACCTGAAAAGAAAACGGATGGATATTAGCACACTCTTTACACTTATAACGAACGTGAGGCTATGCCTTATGTTATTGTTATGAAAATGAATAAAATAAATTATAACAACTGATATTTACTGGGGACAAGCATCTCTGGTTCCAGTCCCAGAGTTCTGAGCCTGTGGCTAACTGGTGACTGGGGACTATAAATCCATAGTTTCCTCATACAGGATGGAGTCAGACACAGGCGGCCCTATAATAACTTCCACTTGTACATGGCAATGAATCTATGAGCAGAAACCATTATTTCCCCTATATATAATTTCAAAAACACTCCATCTTCAAATTAGTTTGGTATTTTAACAATTCGTTTAAGTCCTTCAGTTTGACATGTGCTAATAAATATTAAAAAATTGTTACAATAATCCTGAAAACTCAATTTGCCCTTAATAATTGATGTTAAGATGCCTAAACTTGAAGTAATTACAGAAATGACGTTAGCCCTTTCCATCCCACGCTCCGAAGGGACATGGCATTCTCACATCAGCAGCAGAAGTTCCTGCTGCCCATGAATCCCAACCAGAGGAGATCTCAGCCTTGAGGGGAGGAACAGGAATAGAGATAGCCCGAGTGGTTGGAAAAATCTCTGTAGGTGATTCTGAAATGCTCATTATATAAATGTGTCTCCTGAAGTTGAGAGTCACTGACCTAAATAATTCTTTATTTTGCCAGTATAGACCATGTTTCTGAATTTGATACATTATTGAACCTCTAAATGGTGTGAAAAAAGAAGATTGCCAGCAGGGAAAGGTTGGTCCCACCTAAAAGAATAATTCAGGTTTGTTTAATTAGGCACATGATGAAACAGGCTATGGTTTCACATACACCAAACATCCACTGCTCAAATCTGTTCTGTAAACTTTTTAGCTTTGTTCCCCAAAGCCAAAAATACACTTAAAACCTGTCAAATATTAAGAAAGGAAGCATGCACCATATGCAGAAATATACTAATCAGCCCAATGTAAGAAGTAAATGTAAAAATCTTTATTATGTAAATAGTAGGCAAATATAAAAAGTCTACAAAGATAAAAATGACAGCTGGTCACAGAAGCAACTAGATTTGACAGGGGATAAAAAGAAAGATCTAATTTAATAAATTAAGACTTTTTAAAAATTCTAGAGTGAATTATTTATTATATAACATGTTTTTTTAATGTGGTGTGTTGTGTGTCTTTTTTCAGAGGGAGGGCGAGAGAGAGGGAGAGCTAGAGAGAGAGAATTATCAACCATTGGCTCTCATACACAGTCCAACTGGATTGAACCCACAACCTAGGTATGTGCCATGACTGGGAATCAAACCCATGAATTTTCGGTGTACAAGACAATGCTCCAACCAGTAAGCCACACTGGCCAGGGCTAATGTATTTTTAATAACAGGTATCTGCTATTTATAGCTCAAAATTAAAACAAATAATTATGGGAGGGTGGGGGAGAGGATAGATGATGATCATACTAGCTGTGTGGCCTTTGCTTCAATTTCTTCATCTGTAAAATAAGTATAACAATGGTACTTCTCTTATCAACCGTTATGTGTGTTACAGGAGTTTACCATACACATGCCTGACATAAGGTAAACTCTATATACATGTTAGTATTGTTCTTACTTGCTGAATTTAAAACACTTACAAAAATGCAGATTATGTGATAATATTTTATAGGCTGGCCCATTTAAAAGTTAAGAGTCTAAGCATACTTGTTTACATATATACTAGTATTTTAAGGTGAGTTTTATGAAATTAATTGGTGACAAGCTAACTTTTGTGTTCTTGTCTTGTCAACTAGAAAATCAAACAATAATTTCCAGGCCTTTCTCAGGGAAATTTCAGGCATGGCTATGAACTTGAGGCATTTGTGTGTCAGAGCCACGTAGAGGGATCAAACAGAGTTATGGTGGTGGGGACAGTATAGATAAGAACCAGCCCGCAAGGTGAGTGTTGGCTTCCCCATGACTAGAAGGACTGAGGAGTGGCAACTCTGTGGACCAAGGAGCAGGAGCAGGCATTCCACTTTCCAGCAAGACCCAAAGATGAAATAACCTCTGATGGCGGGCAGGTGAATGTATACCCACCTGGAAATCCAATACTAGCAGAGCAACCAGGGAGCCACAGTGAAGATCTCTGGGGCTAGTGAGCACAGAAGAGCAAATGTTGCCGGGGGGGGGTCACTCACCTTCTTATGGGCCACACAGACTTGAAATATGAGACTTCAACCTAGAACACTATTATTTCCTAGACCAGTGATGGCGAACCTTTTGAGCTCGGCCTGTCAGCATTTTGAAAAACCCTAACTTAACTCTGGTGCCATGTCACATATAGAAATGTTTTGATATTTGCAACAATAGTAAAACAAAGATATATATTTTTGATATTTATTTTATATATTTAAATGACGTTTAACAAAGAAAAATCAACCAAAATATGAGTTCGCATGTCACCTCTGACACACGTGTCATAGATTCGCCATCACTGTTCTAGACTGTAGGAATAACTAAATTTTGGATCACCATTTTATATATATTACTTAACAATTATGGACCATGAAAACAACTTGCCAGTACTCACCAAAGCATGCCTAGATTTGTGAGGAAAATATCGTTGTAACATGTCCAGATACAGAGTTCTTCTGCCACAGAGATCTCCAGGATACTGGTCCAAAACAGCCTGGTATATCCAGTGTTCTTCTTCACTTAATTGGAAGTTTCTGGAAGCAACAAAAATATTGCAACATGTTGTTAAGCAATCATGGAGTTTGAGGGACCTCAAACTATTCAAGCTATTAGCAAGTAAGGATGATTACATAAAATGAAACCTTTTTTTTAAAATACATTAGCCAAACTAAACATCTGCTATTGAAAAGGTTCTAAATTCTACTACAGTTGGTCCTTTCAATCCTTTATTTGGTCTTGCCATGAGTTCCCAGCATAATTTGAAGAAGTTTGACAATGAGACATAGTATTGTTAAAATATTTATTCTACCTTGCCTATATTTTAAAAATATGACTAGTAAATGAAATTTTTAAAACCTTGGGAAATAAATTATTAAACATACAGATTAAAACGGAATTTTGCTTATTCAACAAAGTTCCTATTTCTAGACTGGAGGAAAATACAAATGTAGACAGTTAAATGAACAATTAGATGCAGGAAACTAAGGCCTGCGGAATGCACTTCATTTCAGGTTTGACTTTTAAAGCAAGTCTAAAATTATCTTTTACTTTACCTTCTCAACATCTCGCTTTCTGGGGTAAGAGTAGACATTGGTTGTGAAAAGATAACCAATAACATTACATTTCAGATCATTAAAGAACTCATTTGTAAAGAGGATCCCTTCAAGTCATCTTACCAATAACATGTCCACCGAGCTCCAAAATGCCTTTCTCACTTGAGAATACTCTTAGCCACAGACCTGGTTTGTGCTCCTATGTAGAGTACAGTTAACCCTTGAGCAACACAGGGCATTTACCTGGTGCAGATGAAAATCCAGCTATAACCTTTGATTCTACAGTCAGCTTTTGGCATTGGCAAATTAAATCAACCAGGGATCCAAAACAGTATTTTCGATCTGACTACTGGAAATGTGCAGTTGGGAAACTGCAGTTGGGAATGTGAAAACACTGTTGGGGTTGTTTGAATCCACAGATACAAAATCGCAGATTGGAAGAATTGTCTGTATTTACTGGGAAAAAAATCCTCATATAAGTGGACCCATGCAGTTCAAGCCCCTGTTGTTTCGACAGTCAACTGCATTAGCAAAGCCCTACGTGGATTGAAAGGTTGCAGTATCAGCTTGCACTCTAAACTGAATTAATGACTCATTATTCCGTGATTATTTGCATATTATTATTCCTGTTTAATAAATTGGAATAATCAAATACAGATGCAATCAGAGGGAATATTATTAGCAACAAATATTTCCTTGATCCATGATGAAGACTTGCTATTGTTTATTTCTACTATATCAATAGTCTTCTACTTTAAAGTTAACTGTACAATTCAAAAAAATGTTCATACGTCTTCTCTGCCCTTGGAAAATATTGGACAATTTAAAACAATAAAAAACTCTTTAAATCAGTGATGCTAATGGGAATTCCACTGTCTTCACACAAGTTTACCTAGTATCTGTAAAGCATTTCATTATTCTGGTAAGCAGAAAGAAAGAAAAATATATTTCTCAAAGAAGATAATCGCCAACAGCTCTATAATTGGGGGAGGGGGTTACAGATGTTCTACTAGGAAGCAGGATACTCTACAGTGCTTCTCTGTGGCCTAACTTGTTGCAGAGAAAGAATATGAGATGAATTCATTCATTGAACACCTTGAGTGTCTTGTTCTGTCTGAATCAGTTGGGCACATATAGACAGTCAAAGGCTTCTGAAAATAAAGGCTTTCAAATAGGGATATTGAGCCTGTAGAAAAGCTTGCCTGAGTGTACTTGGCATTTAAAACACCCTCAAGTTTTCAAGGGCAGTATCTCTGGTGCTCTCTCAAAGAACTCATTTTCATTCATGATAACATACATGCATTTTAATAGCAGAGTTAGCCACAATAATGAGTAGACCTAAAGTCCATGTCCTCATTCGTGTTTTTAAACTGTTTCCATAAGCAAAGGGACTTTAACAGGGTTTGTATGTCTACCTTTATTCAATTACAAATGTGGGTGGGTGCCTTTGGGAATGCGTTTTGGGGAGGAGGAAGTGGCAGAGTCTAAGTTCAGTAATTTTTTTTGTTCTTTTACGTTGTCATTCGTCTGTATAAAGGATGCTTTGAAACCATGACAGATCACCTTTATTAGGTAGAATCCCCATTACCAAGATGCTGATCATTCACAGGTGCACCTTCCTCTGTGGAGAATTGTTCTGAACCAAGTGGGAGCTGCCTCATGCAGAAGACTGCTCTCTTACACAAGAGCTAACTGCAACTGATGACTGATTATCTGATGGAGGGCCGCAGAAGCCCCGCCTACTTACCCCAAGATGGGATCAGCTATGTGATACCTTTTGTGCTGCAGAGCTTCACTGTGGGAGCAAACTGCAGCTCATTCCCACTGAGATCTCTACGTAGACATTTTCCCCTCCTCTATTTTGCTTCCCTTACTACCCTTCTCCGGAGAGCATTGCCCAACAAATCACTTGTTACAATCTCTGTCTCAGTATTGCTTCTGTGAACCGGACCTAAGGTAATATACAAGCTTTCTTACCCATCATTTTCAAAAATAGGTTCAATTCTTTGGTAAATGAAGTACTTCTAAGCTAATTCTGTTGACGGTCTCTCATACTGAACGGCGGTGCAAGATTTCTCTCAAAGAGAAAGTGCAAATAGAAAACATTTATAAAAATGCTTTTCAAATAAAAGCACACATTAAGCAGTGTACGTTGCCATAAATAAATAGAGCAATAGGAGAACGTGTGGTGCTCACTGCATTTTTATACATTGCGTGAATTATTTAGGTGCCATTTTAGTGACAACATTAAAACCCCTTACATGTATGAAATGATAATATAACATTAAAACCAAATATGTCATGAACAATGATCACATTTATTTTGCTCTTCTTATTGATTTTAGAAACCTCATCTCAATAGCTTTTCCCAATTACCACAATTACACAGATTGTAAGTCATTTTCCAGTATATGTGGAATAAAAAAACATCTGAAAAGAAACCATACATCAATACTCACAACATTATTATTTTTAGAGTATTCATAGCAGTTTCCACAGCCGCAGGCTTAAATCTTGAGGCAAATATTCCCATCAGCAATACTAATGGCACAGTCATGCATCTCCATTAGGATGCTGCTTGTGAGGGAGAAAACCCCCACTGCTGTGTAAGGACTGAGTCTCCTGGATGGTAAAATTCAAACATAATAGCCTCTTCACAATAACAAAGTAGTCATTTCTTATGTAACCTCTAAAACAAAATCAGATTTAGTATATCTGCATTTCTAAATTCAAATCTGGACATTTATCTTTCCTAATCCAACCTTTGGCTTCCCATTGTTCAGAAAAATCTATACAGACTAGCTTAGCTTTATAAAATAACAAGGGTTAGCTTTTATCTTCCGAAATTCTTGTTTAATTTAACTGCTTTGCTGGTGATGATGATGAAAGAATGAGCTAAATTACACAGACTGAAGACTATTCTGATCACTTATCCCCTTTCTGAATTAGGGAAAAATGACTGTCATTTAAAAAAAAAAATTTAAAGAAGACTTTACAATTACCCTACGTTTTTGCAAGTTTTAAAATATCTTTAGACAAAAGATCTTTGGCAGGTCTCTGCAATTTCTATTCTTTTTGTCCACCCAAATTTTCTAATTTAAGTTGTTTTGTAATTGTTATCTTTAAAACAGCACCCTAAAATTCTACAGTTTCCAGGTTTATTGGGCACTTCCAACACTTCAGGGAATTTTAGCCTGAGGACATATGAGATATTTACCCCTCAATTTCACCCACCATCTCCTGCCCCCAAACATTGAAGTCCACTGGTTGCATTTTATCATGATTTCCCAGGATATGAGATAAAACAGAGAATTTAGAAAAGGAGGACTACTGGACTGTAAGAATTCAACCAGGCCGAGGCTGGTTTTCTCCCTATTTCTACCTATTTGAATCATTCCGAAAATCCAAAACTGACTTACAATTAAGTTCACTACCAGCTCTCTTAGTAGTCATATTTAAACCATTTCCCTGGAGTCTGTCTGGTGTCATGTTATCAAAATACTTTGTGTGTGTGTTGGGAGGCGGGGTGGGGGGGCAGCCAACAATGGCAAATAAAATTCATAAGGGTGATAGGTACTTGAACAACAAAAACAAGTCTAAGAAACGAAACATTGTGTTTACAAACTGGCTGAAATTTGTTTTACATTTTCTCAGAGTGAAGGGCGTTTTCCAGCCAAAAAGGTAATTAGCGCTTCCTGAAGCTTGCTGCTGCAGTGCTCAGCAAATGAGGACTGCCTGGAGAGTGGGAAATGGCCTCGGTAAATCTGGCCTAAAGAGAATCTCTTCCAGTGTAACACTGTCAGGGGACACCTAACGCTCCTCCACTAAGAAGCATGCTTGCAGTGGCCACTGTGGGTGGATGTGGATGAAAGAGAGCTCTCACACCATCCGCTTGTCTCACTGCATTGGGTCTGACCCTCTGGAAAAGAGAACTTCATTTTTAATATTGTCTTTCCAGATTCGACCCATCCAAACACCAATTCTAATTAGCCCGGTTCCTGAAACTGTGTTCCCACCCACCACCCGAACACAGGTCTGTTGTCCAAGGACAAATCTATCTTTTCTTTTCAGCCTGGTTTACAGGGAGCTCCCTGGCCTCGGACTCATTTCTGACCAAGGGAACCTGCATCTTGGGCTTTCTTTGGTGTGTACATCTTCTCCCCAGGGGATCCATGCCCACTTAGCAGTTCTTGCCTCCAGGGTCCCTAGGCTCTGCCCAGTCTGGCCATGCAGGTGGGAGCTGACAGCTAAAATAAAGTGGGCTCTCAGGAGTATGGTCGAAATTCACTGAATTGAAGAATCAACAACAGCAGAGTGGCCCACCAGACCTTGGACCACATTCTTCTGAGGGGTGACAGGAAAGTGAAAATATGGCCGAGCTCTAAAAGTGATGGCTCCAGAATATCTTATAGGCAGGTTAGGGATGAGAATCTGTGCTGAAGAGAAAGCTAAGTAATTATTTGGAAGCTGCAGTTTTTATT